CTCTCCCGCCCGCGCCTGCAGCTGCGCCCAGCCCAGGGCCCAAGGAGGAACCTGAGACACTAACGCTACGCTCCACCACACCCACCCCACCACCCCCATCGCCACGGGCCCCACGGCACAGTCTGCAGCCCCCTCCCCCGCCCCGGTCACCCTTCTATCTGGTGAGTGAATGAATGCTGGGACTGAGTGGGGAGAAGAGGGAGCTGAGCCTGGGTCAGAGTGGGCAGGGGGAGGGGCTGGGATAGCCCAAGCTGGACTTAATGTGGGGAGGAGGATCTCCATGTAGTGGGACTGGGATAGGTCTGGACCAACTGGGCAGGGGAGGGGAGAGGGGAGCTGTGCTAGCCCAGACTGGGCCGGGTGGAAGGGGGAGAGTTTTGGGGCTGGGGAGGTGTCCCGTAGTAAGCCCTGAGGCCTGTGTGTCTGTGGTCCTGGCAACAGGAATCACTTGAAGAGAAGCGGAAGAAGCAGAAAGAGGAGCGCCTGGACCGGCTCTTCCGCCTCAACGAGCAGCACTGCAACCTGGCGCCCATCTACGGCACTGAGGTGCTGCGCCTCTGCACCCTCTTCCCTCCCAGCCCTGCTGGGGAGCAGGAGGAGGAGGGGCAGGAAGTGGCCCCCAAGTTGGATGGCTGGAAGGGGGCCAGCTACACCCACTGCTACGTGGCGCAGGTGCAGCGGGACCCCCAGCACCTAGAGGCGTACTGGCAGCGGGCCACAGCCCTTGCCCAGGCCATCCTGACACCCCAGCAGAGGGTTGAGCAGTTGGCAGACATCATCGAGAGGTAATGCCTCCCGGCGGCGCGGCTGGGCCCCTCTGAGGACCAGGGATCTGGGGCAGCTGCCTTGGGAAAGGGGTTAGAACCCAGCAGCCCTGACTCCCAGTTTCCTGCTCAGCCCCACTGTAATCCACTGACTCCCCCTCCCCTCCCAGAGCTGATGATGGTGAAGGCGTGTCCACAGTCCCCCATGCTTGCTGTTGTGCCACGGCTCTTCGCACCCTCAGCCCTGCCTGTTGTATCTGCAGGTTCATCTTTGCTATGCCTCCCGTGGAGGCACCTGCCATCACCATTCACACCTCTCACCCACCCCCGTCACTCCTGCTCCACCAGGCCATCTTCAAGGAGACGCTGCGGCGGGAGATCTCACCCCGCGCCAGTGGCCTGCATCGCATCGTCTGCAACATGCGCACCCAGTTCCCTGACCTCCGCCTCATCCAGTACGACTGTGGTATGTGGGCCCCTGGCTGACCCAGAGGAGGGCTGGGATGCAGGGAGGCTGAGTGAAGGGGACTGCTCAAGGGAAAAGCAGAGGCTAGATTTGTTCTTGGTTCTCCTTCACCCTCTGTCTTGCTGGTCTGATCAGTGTCCCCTTTCCTTCCTGCAGGAAAGCTCCAGACCCTGGACCTGTTGCTGCGACAGCTGAAGGCCGGTGCACACCGTGTCCTCATCTTCACCCAGATGACCCGTATGCTGGACGTGCTGGAGCAGTTCCTCAACTACCATGGGCACATCTACCTGCGCCTGGATGGTAGCACCCGTGTGGAACAGAGACAGGTATCTCCATCTGCTGCCTTTCCCTCGTGTCCATGTCTTGTGAGGCTTCACTCAGCAGCCAGGCTAGAGGCTCCTCAGAGCCACCCGGTCTCTCCTGCTGGTCTCATGCACTTCACACCAGGTCTCATCCACTTCACTTCCTTCCCAGAACCTGGGGGTCCAGACTGAGCCCTGCTGCTGTACCCGGTGCCACTAGACCCCACCAGCTCCATGTCCTATCTGCTACCCCTGATTTTGGCTCCCCCTCCCTGGCAGGCGCTGATGGAGCGTTTCAACGCCGACAAGCGCATCTTCTGCTTCATCCTATCAACACGCAGTGGAGGTGTGGGGGTGAACCTGACGGGTGCTGACACGGTGGTGTTCTACGACAGCGACTGGAACCCCACCATGGATGCGCAGGCCCAGGACCGCTGCCACCGCATCGGCCAGACCCGTGACGTTCACATCTACAGGTCTGCTGTGTGCCCCCCATCACCTGCTCTGTCTTCTGACAGCACGTGTCCTCTCCCAAGTTATGAGGCTGACGCTGGCCCAGTGGGTAAGTTTCCTCTCTGCCTCCCCATGCAGGCTGATCAGCGAGCGGACAGTAGAGGAGAACATCCTGAAAAAGGCCAATCAGAAGAGGATGCTGGGAGACATGGCCATTGAGGGAGGAAACTTCACCACAGCTTACTTCAAACAGGTATCTCGCCCTGCTGAAGCAGTTGTGTTCTCTGCTTCATTGCAGCCCTCGTGGACTTGCAGCTAAGGCAGGGCTAGAAGCTGAAACTCCTTGCCAGAACCCAGGAGTCCTGACTCCCTGCTCTAACCCAAAAGACCCTACTCTCTTCACTGAATAGGGGGACACTGGTCTGTGCCTAATCTGGGTGTATCTGCCCCTCAGCAAACCATCCGGGAGCTCTTTGACATGCCCTTGGATGAGCCGGCCAAGAAGGATGGGGAGGTCCTCACCATGGCACCAGAGGATGAGGAGGATCCCATGGCTAACAAGCAGACCCAGATCCTGGAGCAGGTAAACCCCACCCAGCCATGGGGAGGGCAGGGTTTCCCTCCGCTCTGCTGCCTCATCCACTGAGGTGAGTGTGTCTCGTGGCAGGCGCTGTGCAAGGCCGAGGACCCTGAAGACATCCGGGCGGCTACGCAGGCCAAGGCTGAGCAGGTGGCGGAGCTGGCCGAGTTCAACGAGAACATTCCCTTAGATGCCGATGAGCGGCCCAGCAAGGAGGAAGAGGAGGAGATGTCTAAGGCTGAGCAGGAGATTGCCTCGCTCGTGGAGCAGGTGCACCTTGATTCGAAGGGGATCCACCTTGTATCACCTCACTCATCTTGTTCCTACCCCCTATACATTAGTGTATCTCAACTGTGGGAGCATTGCATCATGGGAAGGGAGTGGGTGGCTGTGTCCTTGCTGCCCCCTGCTGGAAGAACTGAGCCCTGCTCTTGGTGGATAGGTTCAGAATCTTACAGACTCTTCCAGCAGACCCCTGGGTTTCACCAATTAGATCGGCCCAACATTTCAGGGCTCTTGGGTCCTTTTGCACATAAGAGTCTTGACTCCCCGCCCCCTGTTGCTCTAACCCAGTATGCCCCACTCTTCTGCCAGAACTAGGGATAGATCCCAGGAATCCTGGCTTCCCAAATCTATCTGGTCACTCCTGTGCCTCGTCTTCTCCCCCTGCAGCTCACCCCCATCGAACGCTATGCCATGAACTTCCTGGAGGCCTCCTTGGAGGACATCAGCCGAGAAGAGCTGAAGCAGGCAGAGGTAAATGTGACCCCCTGGAACTCTTTAAGTGCTTGAGGCGGGGTGGAGCATCTCATCATGGCTGGCCAGAATGGCTTTGGCAGCACTTCCAACGTTAAGCGCGTGGCCCTCCACATGCAACGCAGCTTCGGTGGTGCAGCCGCACAGCAACCATCTCTTAGGCTGTTGTGAGCCCTACACCCCTGGGCTTATAACCTTTCATGGAGATGACACTGGAGCACCGGCTGACTGGTGGACAGGGTGGCCACGGGGCACCAAGGCATAGTGTAAGCCTATCTAGATCAGTGTCCTGTCCCCCTTGCTGCCTCAGATCACACCCAGGGGCCATCTAGCTGGGTATCCCGTCCCCTTCACCATCCCAGGTCACAGCCACAGGGTTATGTGGCTCCTTGTATCCTGTTCCAGATCATGCCCATGGGACCATCGAGGCACAAGCATCCCTCTCATATTCTGCCCTGTACCTCGCCCTTTCCCTGCTGCCCTAGCTGAGACCCATGGGCCAATCTAGTCCAATATCCTGCCCTGAATTAGGCCAATGGGCCCATCTGACTTTGTGTCCCACCCTCTCCTTGCTGCAGTGGCTCAGAGCAGGTACTTTGGCTGCCTAGCATATGACTGCTGTCTCTCCCTCCCCCCCATCTAGGAGCAGGTGGAGGCCGCCCGGAAGGACATAGACCAGGCCAAGGATGAGGTGGTGTTCAAGCTGCCTGACGACGAGGATGAGGGTAGGCTCAGTGAAGAAGGCTACATGAAGAAGAGCAAGAAGGCCAGGGTGCCCAGCCGTGCATGCCCAGAACGGGCTGGCACGCGCATGAGTGAGCGACTGCGGGGCACTCGCCTCTCCCTGCGCGAGGCAGATGGAGTGGACACCGAGTTGCCCCACGCCCGGCTCCCAAGCCTGCGCCACCTGCGGGGCCAGCATGCCAGGCTGGAGTCTGAGGAGCCAGAAGATCACCTGTCCCTGGTGGCCCAGCACACACGTGGCGCCGCCATCCGCAGGGACCTGGTGCGGGAGGAGATGCCGGCTCTAACCCGCAGGGCTGTGGCCAAGAGGGAGGACCCAGGGAAGGTTCCAGGAGCTGGTGAAAGGATGCTGCGGCCCATTCATCACAGAACAGAGGCTCCCATTGTTGGGGAGAGGGTACTTCGGGCCTCCCCACAGAGACCTGAACCCTCTGCCACCGGGGACAAGTTGTTGCGAGGCACCCATCAGAGAGCTGAGCCCCTGGCCGCTATAGAGCGGGTGCTCCGAGCCATCCCTCACAGAGCAGATGCCCCAGTACCTGGGGACAGGGTGCTACGAGGCACCCAGCAGAGAACAGAGTCTCTGGCTACCATGGAGCGGGTGCTGCGGAGTGCGCCCCCAAGAACAGATGTTCCAGCTCCAGGGGACAGAGTGCCCCGGCCAGCCTTCTTCAGGCCAGAGGTGGCACCTGCTAGAGAGCAGGACCTGACTCCCGAGACACCGATCACTGGGGCGAAACTTCTCCAGCTGAGACCGGAGGTAGCACCTGCCAGAGAGTCCTCCCAGTCAACACTTCCAGCTACTGAGATGGGGATGGCCATGGGAGTGCCAGCCCTGGTAGGGCATGAGAGCACAGCATCCACAGAGGAGCCGGCCTCGAAAATGCTCCCCGCTGAACATGTGCTGCAGATGAAGCCACCACTCTTTGGGGAAGAGGTGCTGGGTTCAGTGGAGCTTGTGACTAGAGAGAAGATGGGGAGCACAGAGCTGTCTTCTGCCTCAGAGAAAGTTCCTCTCCCAGCCCCCTGTGGACTGGAGATCCCAGCCACTGACAAGCTGGTGCCAAGCCTGGAGACGCCAGCTTCTGGGGAGGAGACACCTGAAGAAGCCAAGGGATCCCAGAGCAAAGCCAAGGTGGCCCAAGAGCTGGCCCAACACCCAGGGGAGCTGCATAGTGTGGATGTGAAGAGGGGGGAGCCAGTCAGGCATGTCCCAGAGGAGCTGGAGAGCCCAGTGCCTGATGGGCCTGTAGCAGAGCTCCCCCTGGAGATGCCCACCCATGGTGCTGCTAAGACAGGGATCGAATCGTCCACTGCTGAGTTTTTCTCCACCACAGAGGACAAAGTCCCAGGAGAGGCAGAGCCCCAGCCAGCCTGGCCTCTCATGGGCCCCCTGAACCAGCCTGTGGAGGCTGCCAACTCCCTGCCTCGACTGAAAATGCCTCCCCCCAGCAAAGAGCAGAATGGGCTAGAGAGGCCTTCCCCTTTCTCAAATAGCCTAAGCAAGGCCCAGCCCCAAGACCTGGCCCAGGACTCCACAGAGCCAGCAGAACTAATCAGTGGTGGCAGCGGCACCCTGAAGGAGATGCCCAAGAGGGGTCTGGGGGACCAGGAAGGCAAGCCCCAGCACCCAGATGGAGTGAGTGCAGCCTCTCTGGAGCTGGGGGAAATGCAGTCAGGGACAACCTCCTCTTCGGACAGCCCATCGCCAGCAAAAACACCACGCCGGCGCACCAGTGCTGATGTGGAGATCCGGCAGAATCACCAGGGCCAGGATGGCCCAGCTGCCAAGGTCTTGCGCAAGCTGCCAGGCCGCCTGGTCACTGTAGTGGAGGAGAAAGAGCTGATCCGGCGCCGGCGCAACCGCGTCCACAAAACAGATGCCACTGGTAGCACTGTGGTGAGTCCCAGCAGCAGTTCCTCTCACAGCATCTCAGAAATGGAACTATCCCCCTCTGGCAAGGAGCTGCCGCTGCTCCGTGACCTGCCCGCACGCCGCAGGATTGAGCTGGAGAGTCGGGCTGCCAAGGAGAGGGGAGATGAGGGCTCTGGTCTGGAACTGCCCCCCAGCCTGCCCCCGCCTCCCCTCAAGCGTAAACGGGGTCGACCCCCCAAGAACAAGTCTCCAGAGCAGCCAAGCCAGGGAGAAGTACAGCTACCACCTGGCACCCACGTGCCCCGCATTAGTAAGCCAGAGATCAAGACTCCAGAGCCATCCTCACCCAAGACAAAAACCCTGGAGCAGCCATGCAAGGGGGAGACATGGCCACTGCCTAGCACCCCAAAACCACGTGGCCAGAAGCTGGAACCTAAGGCCCCCGAGCCAGCCTCTCCAAGGAACAAGACAGAGAGCAGTGAGAATGATTCCCCCTTGGAGAAGCGCCGGCGGGGCCGGCCCCCGAAGACACATTGGGTCCCTGCCGCTCCTAGCACTGAATCACCCCCAAAGCGCAAGCGGGGCCGGCCCCCCAAGAACCCAGCTTCCCCCCGTGTTGAGACACCAGCCCCTCGTCCTGGCTCAACCTCAGACCGCGACACATCCACTGAGAAGGAGCCGCCCCCACCTGGCCACAAGAGAAGGCGGAGGAGGAAGGAAGAGCCCGGTCCGGCCCCCAGTGAGAGCTCGTCAGATGGTGAAGAAGCCCGGCCCCTCACCCGGCTGGCCCGGCTCCGGCAGGAAGAGAAGCTGGAATCAGGCAGTGAGTGCTCGGCCCTGCTTCCATCCCAGAATGCAGCCCCTAAGCCAGAGCCAGACGGCACCTCCTCAGGGGAGAGCAGCATGTCAGAACAGACCCCAGCTCGCTCCACCCGACAGCGGCCAGGCAGCTTGATGCCACCACTGGAGCAGGAGCATCAAAGGCGCAAGCGGGGGTGCCTGTCAGAGGGTGGCAAGTCATCCGGGGCTGCTGGCTCTTCAGAGGAGGAGGGAGGTGGTGAGTCGGAATCATCGGCAGAGTTGAGCGGGGAGGAAGGCGAACGGCAGCCCAAGCGCCAACGCCGCCACGCAGCCCGAGCCCCTAGCGGCAGGAGACGGCAGTGCCCCCAGGGCAGCTCGGCTGACCGAATCCTGCGAAGTGCTGCTGCCACTCCAGCCGGCAATACTCGCTCAGCTGCTGGCGCCCCCACGCCCTCGGCCACTGCTGCTCCTGCTGCCATGGTTACCTCCTCGCTAAGTATCAGAGGCCGAAAGCCCAAAACGTGACCACAGCCTGGGAGATCCTAGAGTCACTTCCCACTGGGATAGATCGGAGCTCACCTACCCACCCACCCCCATCCCACCCTTCTCGGGCAGCAGTCCAACCATGCTGGGCTTCCTGCATCCCTGCCACCCCGTCTGGACTGCTAAACCACTACTTGAACTCGGGAGGGGCTGGTGGCAGAGCTGTCCGATTTCCCCTTGCCCCAATACACGCTCGGCTCTGTGGGCACAAGTTAACCCAGCTGCAAGGTGCGGCAGCTTGGGTGACCCTGCTGCTCCGGCCCTGGGGAAGACGTGTCTCGAGAGGGAAGGGGGCTCTGCTCCCTGACATCATGGAGCAGGCAAGTGATGTGTGTGGCTCCCCCTGGTTCTGGGCACGGGGTCAGCTGAGGGCCTGGCTGGATTGGCCCAGGCGTTACACATCCTTTTTTATTTCTATTGTCTTGCCCAATCCAGGCCTGGTTCCAATTTCCACTCCTGCCCCACCAATGGAGGGAGCTCCCCTCTGATTTCTAAAAACTCACCCTTTCTTTTTAACTAGCTTGGGTTGGTTTTTAACTGACGCAACCAAATTGGTGGCCTCCCACTCCTACCTGGGGTTCTCGATTTCCTTCCTGCTCTTCCATGCAGGAGCCATGTTGTCAGGCTGTTGCAGCCAAATGTGGCCACTGGGGACAGACTGGAACACGGGGTGCAGCAGCCCCGAACACACAGAAGACATTGTCCTCTTTTTAATTATGTACATTTCAGACTCACAGCTCCAAGGACTCTTGGGGCTCTGATTGGTTGGACCCTAACCCCTTGACACACACAACCCCCCACCTTTCTCTCTATGTACAGCCCTTGTTGTAAAATAGGTTCTTTTGAACATAATCTATGCAAAGGTTATTTTGTATAGGGGAGTACACCATTCCCCCCTCCGTGGCAGGACTGGGGGCAGCAGCTGTTGTCTGATGGTTGGGGGGGTGAGCGTGTGGTTGGGGCACAGGGGGTGTAGGGACTGGGGGGAGGTGTTCCCATGGAGCTGTCTTTCCTACTGAAGCATGTTCAGAACGTGTACAGAGGTCCGATGTAATCTTTCTTCAGAATAATGCTATGAATAAAGTGTTTAAAAAAAAAAAAAAAGAAAAACCAACAGCACAGCCCCCGCCTCTGCAGTGTGGTTTGTGCCTCTTCCACATGCCTGGTTCCTTTCCACTCCTTCCCAGCCTCCTCCTCTTATGGCCGTGATTTTCATTGTAACCTGCCACTGTGCTCTTTCACTGCCTGCCGCCGCATAGCGCACTCCCATGCTGGGATCATGGGTATCCCTCACCTAACCCATTTCCTGCCATTTTCAGAGGTTTGGGCCGTAGTGGCACTTCAGTTGTCTCCTCCCACCCCTGTTCTCTGTAGCTCACAGCAGGACCAAAATGTGTTGGGCTAATTGAAGTCATTGGACCTAACAAAGGGAACTGGGTGGGATTAATGACTGGTGCTCTACAGCAGGTCAGACTAGATGCTCCGTTGAGCTCTTTCCGGACTTAAGCTGTAAAACAGCCCTCCTGGAGCATCACCTTTCCTGTGTTGAGCCCTGTATGTGATGGTCAAGCTAGAACATGCGTCGGAGAGGGGACAGACTGGCTCAGAGTCAGTGGTCATCTAGCCCAGTATCCTGTCTGGCAGCCCCAACCACTAGAGGAAGGTGTGGGAATATCCCAGTAGCAGATGTAGGGGTCATCTGACCCTACATCAGATTCACACTGCAATTTCTAAGAATTAAAGATGAGTTCAGGTCCAAGAAGGAGAGGTGTACTTTGTGTTGGCGTTCGCATGAGCTATGCTAACTCTGGGTGTTGTTTAGCAGGCCTCCGAAAATCTTAGTATTGCCATTATCATGTGGCAGTGAGTTCCCCAAGACTAATTTCTGTGTATGAAAAAAGGATTTCCTTTGCTATAATTTTGCTGTCCCCTTGTTCATATGTTGTAAGTTGGGGAAAACAGGCTTTCTCCCCACTCTCAGCCCATCAGTATTTTAAAAACTTCCATTGTGTTCCTTCTGCCTCTTACCCAACCCAATTTCTGTCAATCTCTTGGAGGCCCAGGCAATGCGTCCAATGACTCCTGAGAACGGGGAATCTACCATGAGCCACATGATGGCACTTCTAAAACAAGAGCCTCCAGTATAGTTATTCTTAGGACAAAAGCATCACAAAGAAAACATTCTTAAAAACAAAGTATTGACAATTTCATAATCATGCCAGGAGTAGCCTGCCTTGGATATCATTTGTGGTTGCAGTATCCATCATTCCACTCTATGCCTTTTATGACTCAGCCATGTGATTTGCATTGTCCTGTATGGCTCAGCCACATGGCTGGCACCTTTTTATGCCCTTCATGGCACAGCTGTGGGCATGGCACATCACTGTGCCTGTAATATGCCATAGTCAGGTGGCTGCCACCTCCCCCTTCCTTTGATGGTAATGGTGCGTGCAGGACAGCTAGTCTGGGTGTGTGAGGAGGTGGGAATGCTTTGTGCTAGTTATATGACTCCCATGGCTGACTCAAAGCCTCTTCCCACTTTGCATTGCTCTCCTTGTGAGGGAAAGTTTGCTCTGTGGGTCAGGGGAGATTAAGGATAGGTTTTGAGTTGCACATTCCAGTTAAGCCCAGTAAGTTCAGTGAGAACAGTCTGGAATCTGCATCCCCCTATACTGCCAATGGAAGAACCAAGATGAGGCCATGGGGAAAAATGACCCACAGCTGGAAACAAAAGAATGAAGTGCCAAGGGACAGTGCCAAGGAGCCAGGATGGACCTCAGAAGAGCAGGGCAGTGTGGGACTTGGCTCCTCCCAGTGGGGACGCTTTGAAGCCTGGCTTGTGCATGCTGTCTGTTCTCATGGTGGCTCCTAGGTAACTAATAGGGCCCTACCAAATTCACAGCCATGAAATATCATGGACAATGAAGTCTGGTATCTAGGGTAAAATGTACAGAATACTTAAATTTCGGCGGGGGGAGGAACCAGCATTTTTCAAATGTTGGGTCCTGATTCAAAAGTTGCAGGGAGTCATGGTATTGTCACCCTTCTATGCTGCCTTCAGAGCTGGGCAGCCAGAGAGCAGTAGTTGGCTCAGCACCCAGCTATAAAGGTAGCACTCTGCCAGCAGTAGTGCAGAAGAAGTACAGTACCATGCCACCCTTAATTCTACACTGCTGCCTTCACAACTAGGTAGCCAGATAGTGGCAGCTGCTGACTGAGGACCCAGCTCTATAGGCAGAAGTAAGGGAAGCAATACCATACCATCCTATCCTTATGGCTACTGGTAGTGACTCTCTTCAGAGCTGGTCTCCCAGCCAGCAGCTGCTGTCCGGCTGCCTGGCTCTTAACAGCTGCACTGCCTTCAGTAGCAATGCAGAAGGGTAGCAATACCACACACACAAACATTCCTTTTTAGGTCAGGACACCTACAATTACAACATCATGACATTTCAGCTATAAAGAGCTGAAATCAAGACAATTACAATTTTTAAAATCCTATGATCAGGGGTTGCCGAGCCATGGCGAGCCCTGCTCGCCAGCAGCGCTGTCCGGCGTTCTGTGAATGCGCGGATCGTTCTGCGCATGCTCAGATCGCCTGAACCCGGCTCTTCCGGGTTGTAATCTACTCGCCACAGGCAAGTAGATTACATAGATTGAAGCCCTGCCTATGACTCTGAAATTGGTGGAGCCCTGTTAATAGCTGATGCCTTGTTTTGAAAGGTTGTTGCCTGGATCCTGCGAGAAGTTTATCTTTGTTGACATCAATACTGAGAGATGGGGTGCCTTGAGCTCAAAGATCCGGTCAGCATGGGCACAGGGAATGCCCTTGTGGTACATCAGGAGTCCTGGACATTGGGCACATTAATGGCCAGGACAGAGCATAGATCCGATGAATCCACACCACTCTCCCTCTGCCCTTAAATGCAATTGGTGGAGTAACAGCCTGGGCCATGAGACTACTTCTCAAGCCCTTTATTCTTTGTGTGTGAAATACACACACATCCCTCTCTATTCTCACCTCTTTATTCCCATTTATTCTAACACTGGAATAAATTGCCTAAGGAGGCTGTGGATTCTCCATCACTGGAGATATTTGAGAGCAGGTGGGATAGACATCTATCATAGATGGTGCTTGGTCCTTCCATGAGGTCTCTCTCAAGGTCCCTTCCAGTTCTAATGTTCTGTGATATTATACTTTGTTCCTATGGGTCAGGTCAAAGGTCCATCTAGCCCAGTATCCTGTCTTCTGACAATGGCCAATGCCAGGTGCCCCAGAGGGAGTAAACAGAACAGGGAACGAAGTGATCCATCCCGTCACCCATTTCCAGCTTCTGACTGAGCTAGGGACACCATACATACTAATGCTACATTCTACCTGCCCAAATCCTGAACCCCACCTGCTCTGCTTGTCCTGCCCACCACATGCCCTGCCCACGCTGCTGGCAGTCCATCCCGCACCCAACCTACCCTACATTCCACTCAGCCCATCTCATGTCTTGCATCCCTTCCACCCCATACCCACCTTGTCTACCCTATATCCAGCCCCTGCACTCTGCCTGGCTCCTGCCTTCTGCCTGGCCTGTGTTCTCGGCATGGCCTGCATTCTATGTTCCTACACAGTGAGACTTAGCATATTAGAAAACAGTGTTTGTAAAAACCCCTAGGTAATCCAGATTGCTCTGTATCAATTACCTTGTCTTCTGTATTTACCACTCCCCCAGTCTTTGTGTCACCTGCAGACTCAATCAGTGATTAATTTGTTTTGTGCCAGGTCACTAATAAAAATATTAAACAGTGCAGGGTCAAGAACCGATCTCCGCCCCCAGGAACCTCTCTCACTGAGACAGCCTCTTCCTCCCCTGTATGCCCAAACCAAGGCACAGCCCTATTCCCCCGCTATAGTCCAAAAGCCAGGAACCTCCAGCACTGAGATGGTACAAAGGTTGGGTGGGCCCCGCCCGGATCATCGCTGCAGTCTCTGCCTCATCCCCCTTGGATTTCCCAGTGTAATTGTTCTCCATGCTGAATGCCATCTCCTCCCCCATGGAGCTCCTCTTCCCCTCCTGTTCCCAGGTCTGATTTCTTTCTCTCCCTGAGCATATTGGAAAATCATTAGCCACCACCCAGGAGGGGCTGAGTTTCTAGCCAAGAGCAAGAGTGCTAAAGGGAATAACTATCCCAGACCACCAAAGCAGCAATGAGTGTGGTCTGCCATAGGGAAGGGCAAGGAGTAGAGCAGGGGGAACTGAGAGGACAGGCTGGCTTGGATAGGGCCTGATGGGGAGTTTCCATCCCTACTGGGGAAACAGACTTTTGGGAAGGTGGGTGGAAGGAGGTGCCCCCCTATGGGAGAATTGACTTAACTGGCAGCAGGGTCCTGGGCTAACATCTCAGCTGCGCACATTTTCCTCTGTTTGTATGCTTCTGAGTTCCAAGCCCTGCTTTGACAGTGCCTTTTTAGGGCTGGGTCCGGTCTCTCAGCATAAGCTCACTGACTCGAAGCTGGCCTTGTCAAACACATCCACCCACCTGGCCAAGTCTCAGCCAGGACATAGTATACATACAAGTTGGTTCAAGGAATGGAGCCTGGGAACCAGACCTACTGGATTCTAGCCCCAGGGTTTTGGGCAGTGAGAGGGGATTGCATATTAGAGGAGAGGATGGCCTGAGAGTCAGGGCACCTGCCCTAGCCTTTCCACTGTCTCATAAAACATTTATCTTCCCTTCTTTGTGCCTCAGTGTACCCTTTGTTGATGGTATGTTTCTATGGAAATCCCCATGCTTCTGGGGCATATGAAAGAAGGAGGGTTCTTATCAATGAGCCAAAATCTAGTTTCTGGGGCAGGGGGAGCTGTTTGATCAGCTGTAGCTGCCTCCTG